ACCACATATAGCTATGTGTGCACAAACGTAATATAAACTGGACAATGTACAAAAACTCACTACCACCAAGGTGATTCTAACTCAGCAGAGTTGAAGCGCCCCTGTGGGTTTCTGAGAGTGTAACCCTTTACAGGGGAGTCCCATCTTCCTCCCAAGAAGGACCTCCTAAAAATGAAACACTGTCCCAACTGCTACTGCTTACCATTCCGATGGGGACCACAGAATGTCCTGGGAGGAATATGGGGGAACACCATTGAACAAAACCCAAATCCATAAATAAGACAAGACTTACTAGTCTTCTGTCAGGGAATGGTGGCACCCCAAAGATGTGGTCCTTGAACATCCTTCAGACCTGGAACTGAGTCCAAGGCGGGGGGTGGGGGGTGGGGAGGGTGTCACCTGGCATGGGCCCTTCAAGTCAGAACCATCAACTACACCAGGAGGCCCAAAGGCAGCATCTACTCCCACACACACAAAAAAGCTCAGAAAGCACAAAACGCCAAGAGCGAAGAATGGGTGGATAGGGGAAGTCAGAGGGAGCGGGAAGAGGGCTGTACACGGAGGGAGTTCCAACTCATGTTCCGAAACAAGATGTGCACAAGTTGTTGAGTGGTAAACTGATCCACTCTGTTAACTTCCACCCACATCACGGAAATAAAATAAATAAACCAAAACGCAGTCTGGTTTACAGAAACCCCGTTTACCCTGTGGGATCATCTAACAGAAAGAACGAGGGAGTCATTTATACCCCTGGGCAGACAAAATGGAAGAATCACAACGACATACAAATCATTGTACATATCAAAATTATTACGTTTCCTGCCCACCCCCACCCCCACACCACGGCTTCACCTTGGGGTGAAGGTCAAGATGACCAGCTTCCCTGGGGAGGCTCCCTCTTCATTTTCCAAATGGCTGGCTGAGAAGAACAGGCGCTGATTTATCCACAGGAGCGTGGCCGCAGAGCCAGAGAATGACAAAGACTGAGAAGGTCATTGGGAAACCTTGAGTGAACGCCTGGAGCCCACGCTCAGGGCACCATCCCCGCCCCCTGCTTCTCTTCTAGCCCAAGTCTATGCCAGTGCCTCCCACCTTTCGCTCATGAAGATGCTGCAGGGAACCTGTCAGATGTCGATTTTGCCTGTTCCTGATGGCCACCTCCTATCCCAGAGACATCCGAAGAGACACGGTGTCCATTATGTCCGTGGTCTTTTGGAAGGCCACACACGACTCTAATAGCCAAGATTCATTTTGCTCCCCATGGACCCATTTTGCTCCCTTGGGAGCCGATCTCTCCCCCTCCACCCCTGGTTGAGAATGCAAGCTCTATGTGTACATACAGGCTCAGGACCCAAGTGGACCGGAGTATACAATACCTATTCTTTTATCAGAGAAAAGACAGAGTCATTTTTCCCCGTGTGTGTGTGTGTGTGTGTGTGTGTGTGTGTGTGTGTCCATGTTTTATAGTTATGTCAGAGGAGTAAAACCACACACTTCACTCAACTACAGAAAGGGAGAGGGGGAACTGGAAGGATAAAAAGAAGAAAGGAACAGAGAGATGGTCATTGAGAATGCACACAAGCTGGAGATGGATGTCACTAGAATCAAGCCCCGCTGTTCTGACATAGTCCAAGATACCGACAGGACAGGCCCGGGAGGAGACTGAGAGCTGCAGACAGACAGCAGGCTCCCGTGTTCTCACCACGCCCTTTTCACAAGGGCCCACAAGGTCACCCTGATGACCCAAGTGAAACCCAAGGGGACCGTCTGACTCACACCACCCTGTGCTTGTCCGACAGAATCAAGGATGCTTCCGATCACTGGGTTGGTTCTGGCTCACTGCGGCCATACAGGACAGGGGAGAGTGGCTCCACTGAGCTTCCAAAGCTGTAGAGCAGTGATTCTCAACCTGTGGGTCACAACCCCTTTGGGGATCGAACAACCCTTTCACAGGGGTTACCCGATTCATAACAGTAGCAAAATGACAGTGACGAAGTAGCAACGAAAATAATTTTATGGTTGGGGGGTCACCACATGAGGAACTGTATAAAAGAGTAGCAGCATTAGGAAGGCTGAGAACCACTGCTGTAGAGCTTTCTGGAAACCTCTGCTTTCTCCTATGGGATGGTGGATTTACAACAAAGACCTGGCAATTAGTGGTCCCACCGAGGATTCTCATAACATGCCACCTTCTTCCAACCCGAGACCCACGGCCGTGTCTCCCGTGCTTGGAAACTCAGGAGCCCACTCAGGGTTTAAAAGGGTGTGATTTGTAAGACTGTCCATCCAGGTAGACTTAAGACAGCCAAGCTATCAGAGAACCAGGCCCAGCAGGCTGCAGGGTTAAATGGCAGGAGAAACCTAATCTGAAGCGCAGTTGCTGAAGGCAGCGTGAGCGGTGCCGCTGGGAAGGCCCTTCCGCCATGTCCTCAGCTCTCAGTGGCAGTTTCTCAGCCCTTCGCACCCCTGCCTGATGGGGCTCGTCCCAGAACCGAAGCTGCCCAGCATGGGCAGAGAGAGAGAGTGCACGCGCAGGCACGCGCACGTGCAACATGACCGTCGCCCCCTCGTGACATGCAATGGTTTCTGATAGACACTAGGCTATTCCGCATGGTTATTTAAATGCTATTGTAACCCACTAGAATGGCACTGTGGTTCCACTCATAGGTCAGGGCTTTGGGGTGAAAGCCTTGAGGTATTTCCAACCCCTTTGGCTCACATTTGGGTAAGCCATAAGGCATTGATTGATTGATTGATTGATTGATTGATCGATCAATACAATCAAGGCCTTTGACATACCGACATTTGGGAATCAGAGCTAGGAAGCACTGGCTGAATCTGTGAAAAGTAACCTTGTGGCAAGAGCTATGCCCCCAAAGGTGCCAGGAGCCTCCCTAGTGCTCAAAGACCATCCCATGACTGAGGATGACCTCCCCGCCCAGCACGCTCCCACAGGAGTAAGGGACATGTGGAGGCACATGGGTTCTTTGTTGTTGGAGGCCAAAGGAGGGAGGTGTGCAGATGGGGCCAGGCTCCGTAAACCCCTCTCCACACCTGCCTTCGTGGGTTGGTACCTCTCTCTCCTTTGTCTTCTTTTCTAAATTTTATTTTACTGGGCTCTCTTACAGCTCTTATCACAATCCGTACGTGCTTCCAGGATGTCAAGCACATCTGTACATAGGCTGCCATCATCTTGCTCAAAACATTTTCTTTCTAGTTGAGCCCTTGGTATCAGCTCCTCATTTTTCTTTTCTAATCCACCCGCCCTCGGGATGTTTCAGCACCCCCGTGCTGTGCCCTGGGATTGGAGGGCCACAACCCCAGGAGTACAGGCCATGCTGCCTGCAAGAGGGGCAGGCTACAGCAGGGCAGGTGGGCCACTTGTCCCCAGGCACACACACAGGTTGGGGTGCCCTTCGCCCCGTGGCATTGATGGTTCTACCTGGCAGGCACCAGCCATGGAGAAAGTGCGGAGGAGAAAAGTATGGAGTTCAGAGGGCTTTGAGGAAGCCTGTGTGGCTGAGAAAGTCGCCCTGCATGCAGGAGGGAACCTGCTGCACGGTCACCTGCTCCTACTCTGGCGTTAGAAAGAAGTCTATGGATCGCATCACGTAGGGCGCCCTGCTCTGTAGTAAACCCTGAACTCTAAGCAGGGGGTATGGGTTCTGCGGGACCACTACAAGAGATCATCAACCCCAGAAGAGCCGTAGAGAGTGCTGAGGGCGGGAGAGCTTGTGTCAAGCGTTGGTAATGAGTTCAGAAACAGAGATCAGCCTGTGGCTGGTGCTGATTTGCCTCACCCCCCTCAGAAATTAATCCCATCTCTTCCTCCCTTTTACAGATGTGAACATTAAATATGCAACAGGCCTAAGTTAGCCTTTACTTCATGTTTAATTTACTGAACCCCTCAAATGCAAGGGTCTCAAGCCACACCCAATCTTAAAGGGGCCCTGCGAGAGCTGTCATCTCCCCTCCTGCCCACCAAGTGGTCACAGACTCTGCCTAGCACCATGACATCACCAGCCAGAACCAGGCACACAGGGCCTCATGACCATGGTCTCCAGAGTCAGCCAGGCCACCCTTGAGCTTCTGTGTGATGTCCATAGAGATTAAACCCGCACGCTGTCAGGGAGTTAATTCCAACGCAGAGTGACCTGTGGGACAGAGTATGACCACTCCCTGGGACTCTGAAGCTGCACATCTTTATGGGAGCAGACAGCCTCATCTTTCTTCTGAGGAGTGGCTGGTGGATTTGAACTGCTGACCTTGTGGTTCGGAGTCCAACAGGTAGCACACTGCGGCACCACTAGAGCTCCCCAGCAGAGGTTGGAGCCTAGGAAGTCCCCAGGGCTAGTTCCACTCTGTCATGGAGGGTCGTGGTGAGGTGGAATCAACACATGGTACCTAGCAACCGTAACAACAACCAATATTCTACACCAATTCTACGTTGAAATGAGAAGATTTTGATACACCAAACCAAATGAAAGACATTCACAGAGTTAATACCATCTGCTGCTTCTTGCAATTCTTAAGGTGGTTCTGAGAAAACTCGAAGTGACCTGCAAAGCTCATAGCCTGTCCCTGTGGGCAGCCCTAGATGGACTCTGCAGGGGAGAACAAACTTTCTCTGGAAAGGGTCCGGGCTTTGCAGGTCCCATGCTCTCTCTCACAAGTCCTCGAGCCCACCATGGTTGTAGGAAGAGACAATATGCAGAGGGATGAATGGGGTGTCCCCCCATAAGGCTTTATTCACACACACAAAATAAGCTGTTAGGCTGAATTTGACCCTGAAGCCAAGGTTGGCCAACCAACCCCTGCTGTAATGGCAGCAAAGGGGCCTGTGCTGAGAAAGGGCATTCATTTTCCCATGAGCCCTCAGCTAAAAGCTGCCCTTCGTTCAGCTGGGCGAGGAGAAATCCCAAGCCTGTCCCTTGGCTTCCCTGAGCCCAGCCCGGCCGGGCCCCGGCTCCCTGCCCCAAGCACCCGCCACGTGTACTCACTTGGGTGTGTGGACCTCCTCCACGCGGTTCCCCAGCTGGAACTCGTGGGATTTGCTCCGATGCAGCGCTGTGAACCCTGGGATCAAGTGGATCAGCTTTCGGGATGAGGGCGGCGGGGTACCCGGAGGCCTGAACTTGTTCTTCCTCCTCATGGGCGGCGTGCCGGGTGGGGTCACGGTGGTGACTATATTAGGAGTGCGTGGTGGGGTGCGGACTACGTGCCGTTGCCGGGGCGACGGGGGCAGAGACCGATGGCCCAACTCCAGTGGTGGTGGTAGTGGTGGTGGGCACAGGCCAGGGTAGGTGTCCACGTTCAGTCTGTCCACGTGGGTGTACACGGGGGTCCCAAGGCTGGGGCTGGGGTGACAGTAGTGCTGGACACACTTGGGCTGGACCTTGGGGCTCTGGTGGGTGCGGATCCAAGGGGCTGGCTCCGGGGGGCACACGCGGGTGTCCTCCTTCCCTGTCTCCGTGGTGGGCCACTGGATGGTCCAGTCTTGTTTAGAAAGGTTGCCTCCTGAGTTAGAACAAAGGACAAAAAAACACATGAATAAACGGGGGGAGAGCCAGGCCAATTACATCCTACCGCCATTACTTCAATCCACTCAGTTGGTGGGGGGGGGGGGGTCCAAAGAGAAGGAACACGCCCCCCAGTACTCCAGGCCACCACATCTCCACCCAGCACCTGCCACCCCAGCACCCCATGACCAGAGAACCCAAAGCCAACAAACAGCACAAAGAGCAAATGCTTGCCTTGTGAGCTTCTATTACGGATTGACAAGTAACCTACAAAGGAGATCGGTTGAAGTTCTAGTCCCCGGACCTGGGAAGATGATGAGCTTGTTTGGAAACCGGCTTTGATTTTGTAACCTTTGATTGTGAGGTTGGGGAAGGTTTTCAGAGCAAATCAGCCTTCCGTTCATCAGTGTGTACACATCCTGCCTCACGTCCTGGATGGGACTCCCCACATTGTAACATCACTTTCCCCACATCGCACGCGCCCCATTCTTCCTTCTTTCTCAACCCTTCTTGCTTCTGCACTTTCCCCTCTGGTCAAAGCTTGACAAATGGTAAATTAGGCCAAGGAGCTGGTATGTATGGTTCACCTAAGGTACCTGTCCATGGGTGAATCAGGCCCAGGCCCAAAGGCTGACCAAGGGTCATCGTCTCAGGGTTTCCCACCGGTCTCCAGCTGACCAAAACGTCTGCCTTCCCCACCCCCACCCCCGCCCCCGTGATTTTGAGTTTTGTTCCACATGTTCCCCGTTCTATCTAGGGCCTTCTAACAGAATCCTCCCAGAGGGGTTTGGAGAGAGAGCGTGAGGCACCTCCAGATGATCTTCTGGTGTCAAGGTCAAGGGGGCCGAGGCTCCCTGGGTGTGTTTAGACGACTGGATGGACTGTTTCTATGCGTCTTCAACTTCCTACGCTCCTCTGGGGTCCAGATGGAGAGAGAGCAGTGGTTTCAGCTGCTCGCAGCATGTAAGAGCCCGTGATCCGGTGGGGTGACGCGGCCACCCTCCATTTTCACAGAATACTGATTTCTCACCTCGTCCTTGGAACCGATGCAGGTGAGAAGTGGGTTTACACTACACTACGGTTCAGTAGCGCAGACTCTGGCACATATGCTCCTAGATCATAGAATGCGGCTGCCTGTTAAAAGAAAGACTGACGCTTCGGTCAACCCCAAAGTGCCTCGGAAGCAAAACCTGGAGATCTACCACCGTAAAAATCCATCAATGAACAACAACAACAACAAAAACTCCATCAGTGAAAACCCTACGACGACAGTGGTCTGACATGCCAACGGCTGTGCAGACTCCACAGGGCCCAGTGGCATCTCATTCACTGCACATGGGGTCACCGTAAGACAGCAGCTGGCTCAGTGGAAGCCACCAACAACAAGAAATGAAGGCAGAGGCAGCAGGGCCTGGGGAAACGTGGTGACGTGAGCACGCCTATCAGAGGCCGAGGAAGGAGATTTGGGGCAGAAATAGATTCCCACTCAGAGCAGACCCTCACTAACACCAATCATGACTTTAATGACGCCAACAGGAGCTCATCACTCTGCAGGTGGAGGCCCATTGTGTCCATATGGAGACGGCTGAGCCTCGGGGTGAGAGTGGTGCTCAGGGTCACCAGAGGGAGGATACAGGGCACCCAGGATTCAAACCCAGGCCTAGGACCACCCAACACCAAGGGCCCAGGGGTGTCTGCGACAGAGGAGCTGGGACTTGCCTCTCTCTCTTCCCATTACTAATGCTACCTAGCAATAGTTTATTATTACTTTTTATCACTTTATTGGTGGCTCATACAGTTCTTATCACAATCCATACAAGACCTGCCTCTTTGAGTCCATGGGCCATTAGATCAGTGGTGAGAATGGATACTGAGAAAGGGCTCATTTCTGAAGAGCATCCATCTTCTCTCTTTACGGACGTTCCTACAACAGTCCACCGAGGTCCCCATCACTACAGCATTGTGATAGGTAGGTTTATTGTGCCAGCCTGGCCAGTAGGAACATGTGGGATTAATAAAGGCACAGTTCGACTGGAGAGCAAAGAGAGAAATGACTCACCAGCAAGATCAACCCCTCTCTCTCTTGCTCTCCGGTGATTGGACCAGCATGTGGCTACTTTAGCGAGCTCTCTGCCTCAACCTGTGAGCTACACTACCTGTGGGACAGCCAACCTGTGGATCGTGTACCTAGAGCTTGAGGTTCCTTCGAGACCTGCTTCACCGCCCTGCTGGTGCATACATTCCTTGAGCTTGAGGCTGGTGGATCCTGTCGTCTTGCATTGGTTGAGTTCAATATCCCATAGGGGCCTACTTCACTAAGCTCCTGAGCTACTGACTATTGGTGACCCGGCCAGCTGTTCACTGCCTGTGAGTGGACTTTGCCTGCATTGCCCGAGGGAAGACTCAGCTGTCTGCTCCTTTGACCTTGGATTCGGCAGCCCATGTGAGTTGAAGGACTTCCAGTATATTAGCTGATCCACAGAAGTGAGTTGAACTGAGCCCTCTGTACTGCTGTGTGAACTAATTAGCTGTTATATTCCTTCATGCTGTATATAGCTAGGTAGGTAGGTAGGTAGATAGACAGACAGACAGACGGATAGAATCATAAGTGTCCTGGTTTTATTTCTCTAGTGAACCCTGTCTAACACAAGTATCTACTCTCAAATGTAGATGGCTAATAGACATTAGCCCACTGACTCAGAAAGTCGGCTGTGGAATCAACTGACTTGGGTCCAAATTCTGCCGCCCCTACTTCCTTGGCTGTGTAGTGTCAGGCAGCAGACGACCCTGTCTGAGTCTCACCTCTGTCACCTGTAGACTGAGATGATGATAGACCCTACCTCGTGCAAACCACCAAGTTAGCCGCAGGAGGCTACCCTCACCTGTGGAAGGAAGGCCGAGCCCTCACCTGTGGAAAAGGTCTGTGCTGACACACACAGGGTCCCCGGGAGCTGCAGCCCTCTCATTGGCAACTGGACATGGCAGGAGAAGACGAGGATCAAATGAGTTCACGTGAGGCATGTGCTCAGCACGTGATGTGGTTCTTGTTGCCCGCCGCCTTGCGGCCAGACCCCTGGCTTCTGGTTTCTCCTGGCTCAATCTGGGGCCTCTCTTCCTAATCTGCCTTGGTCTGCTCATCATCACAACCCTAGGCCAGCCTCCACAGGCAGGTAACTGCACGGAGGGGTGCATTGACCAGGCATCCCATCTGGATGCCCCACGTGGAAGGCTAGCTTGCTACCACTTAGCCCCACACCCAACCAGCACACAGTAGGCCCGCTATAAATGTCAGCTCCTGTGATTGCTAACGCTCAAGACTACGGTGATAAGGCCCTGCTTCCCACTGAATGAGTGTGCACTATTGTTGGGGCCCTGGGAGCTCTATTGGGTTTGCCATCCAAACCCAGCAGTCAGTCTAAAGGAGCGAGACCAGGTGTGGCTGTCTGTTGGTACTCTGCATGGAGCAACTGTGCTCCGATGAAGTTCAGGCAGGCTGTGCTCCAAGGTCAGACGGATAGGCCACTAAGGAGCACTCGTGGTGCAATGGTTCAGCTCCCCGCTGCGAATCACAAGGGTGGTGGTCTGGATGCCTCAGCCGCCCTGCGTCGGAAAGAGGGAGCCATCTGCTTCCGTCAGGCACCGGAAATCTCCACCTTGGGGTTACTATGTGTCAGAATCAACTCAACGGCAGTGGGCTTGGGGGTTTATGGGATGGGGAAATGAGTAAAACCCCCCACTGCGGCTTCCCTCAGAAGGAGGAGCGAGATCCCCACACGCAGAAGACTTGCTTTCTGGGCGGAAAGGACAAGAACACATGCTCCGACATCAGCATCCATCAATCAATCAATCGATTGATGGATCAGGGATGGGTGTTCACACACCGCCCAGGGCACCGCACACTGGTGACGTCACACTCGGAAATTAACTGCTCCCTGCAGCGGCAGGCAGTTCAGTGGTAAAGCTCATGCCTTCAGACACCGCCACCGTGTTTGTCCCAACCAGGGGCAGGGACCACGTGCTTCGGGGTGCCCGCTCAGTGTTGCAGGTGGCTAAATGGGTTTCAGAGGAGCTTCCAGGCAAAGCTGACTAGGAAGAAAGGCCTGGCCGTCTGCTTCGGCAAACCAGCCAGTGCAACCCCTCTGGGTCCCAGGGGTCCCATGTGCAGTGGCTCATGGGACTGGTGCAGGTGTGGGCAGGGTCTGTCCCATTGTGCATGGGTCACTTTGAAAAAGGGATCAACTTGATGGCAGCTAACAGCAGCAGCCCTGTCCTCCCTGTGACCGCTTCTCCAACTGTAGAGCCGAGATGACCATTGTCCACCCTCCTCGATTGTTCAAAGGATTAAACCAGGCCATGTGAGGAGAACGTGCCGGCAGACCCTATCCAACAGCTGGTGCTGCATGAATGTCCACGGAGAACGGGGATGAAATCACCCATTCATACAACGCTGGGCTTTAAATGGGTGTATAAAACGCCTTCCCTTGTGCCCGATGCAGTGGCCCTAAAAGGCATCCTGTCCCTACAGAAATGGGTTTGGACGCCCAATGTGATACTACGGTGAAGGCACCAGCCCTGCACGGTCAGGGTCAATCCAGAGACTATTACGCTGAGTGAAATGAATTCATCACAGAAGGATGTAGGAGACCGTTGTTAAAAGAAAATTAAAGGGGGCGGGGCAGACAATCTATGAGGACAAAGACCCTCATACCAAAGGGGACAGACTTTGGAGGTAACTGAGGCGAGCAGGACAAGGGAGGGGACAGGAAGCAACAGGCTAGTGGGGCAGGTGAGGCAGGTGTGAAGTTGAGAGATAGTCACCCCAAGAAGAAGAGAAATCAAAACAAAGGGGGTGGGTAACCTAGTAGGGGGGTTGGCAGGTGGCTTAAATGGGTGAATACAAGATTGATGATCTGAAATGTAAACCCCTCACTTAATGCACCATGAAAAAAGAGAGAGCACCCAGTCTCACCGGGTGTATTTCCTCTGGAAAGCCAGTCC